CTGAAAGGATTGCCTCAATCATCCTAATATCTTTGCAAATCGATCTGCTTCCATCTTGGTAACCTATGAGAGGATTTCTGGAAATGGGAAGGGATGAAGAATTGTGAAGAGCAAAAAGAATTATTTGCTTTTGAAGAATTGCAATAAAGCGATGGGGGCTAAGGATAGCAGAGGACTTGTAGAGCTCTGATGCATTCCCATCTTTCTGAGTCTTCAAAAGGAGCTTTCTAAAGAATCTGTATATATGAATTATGCATTAAGTATCTTAAACTTTGGAATTGCCTCCTAAAAAATGCTTTTCGGATTTACACTCATTGAGTGTGGTTTTAATATTTTTTGTTAATAAAAATCTATCTATGGAGTCCTTACTGCATTTATGTGCATGCTGTAATTCAAACATAGTGCAAAAATTTGTAAACTCTGCAGAGATTCCGCTATTCATTACGTGTTTCTCGTAGTTTACTAGTGATTCGTTATCTTGCTCCTGTCCAAACTGCCTACTTGCCAACTTCTTATAAAAAGGTCAATTTTCATTAGGTGCCACATGATCTTATTACGACACCTTTCAACTGAACAACAAAATTGACGTTTTGAAACCAATCGAGATACTTCTTTTCTTAATCTCTAGAGACTTCTGGTGTCACGTTGGAAGCGTTTTGCTAGAAGAAAATAGGCTTTAATGTTGATTTTTGTTAGGATTATGTAGAATGCAAAGAAGGAGCAATAATGACGTTTTCTTTAAATGGCAACAAAGCATGTCTACGTAAGTGTTGGACAGAATGCTGATTGTTTTCCTTATTCTGCTCTCTCTGAGAAATCTTGAGGCTGGTCCAGCCGAAGATAACAATCGAGCTATAATCAATTTTGACGGTGTATGCAAATGTGAACTCGGCTACAGTGCCATTGTAAGTGCTCTTCGCGAAATCTCATATACGGATTTCATGGTGTTCCAACACATCAACACTCCAGCACAGCTCACCATCTCAACTTATTTTCAGGTCTACAATGGTTATGGATGTTTTTGTGGTAAAGGAGGTTCTGGCACGCCAGTAGATAGTATCGACTTGTATGCACTGAAAATCTCAAAACCTGGCCTTTTTTTATGACCCTTACAGATGCTGCAAAATTCACGATAACTGTTATGAGGAAGCCAGAATTAGCAAGAAATGTGGCAGGATAGACCTGTACATGGATATGTATGACTGGAAGTGCAACAATAAAAAAGCTATTTGCCAAGGTAGGGAGAACATTCGCTGCGATAAAACAACTTTAAAAGAGCACAAAAGATTTTTTTGGGGTTAGTTAATGAGGTACTGATAGCATCATTTCAGGGAAAACAGAATGTGAAAAGGCCCTTTGCGCATGCGATACCGCTGCTGTTCGCTGCTGGGCCCGTTACGCAAAACCAAAATGGAAGAAAGCTTGCCGTAAGCTTGCACAGTTTCCAGTGGAATAAATTGATTCAATATTGAACATTTTCTTTGGAATTAAAACTTTGAATTCTCCATTCTACTTGGCCAACTTTCAAGATTATTTATGAATTTTCAAATAAAAAATCCTTGCCTTTAGTATCGCTTATTGCAACAAAGTCCTCCATGTATGTATACAATGCAAGAAAAAAAAGGCATCAAATAAATGCTACAGCGTCAAATAAACATAACTGATACAAGGCTGTTACCCAACATTTGAATTTTC